GTCTTGTATGCGTGTTTCTGAAACACAACATACATCAATGGCTCGGGATGCCAGAGTCTTGGCTAGAGATGCTTGTTGTCCTATTTGGCAGAGTGTCCTAACATTAAATGCTCCTATATAAAATTGGTGGCGTGGTTTTAGGAGACAATCGGTGGTGGCTTTTTGGCTTCCATCGTTATCAGTGCACACAGAGTGAAGGGGAAGTGAAGAGCCAACAAGTAGAGGAGTTGCATTGGTAGAAGGAAGGCAAGATAATAGAGATGAAGATGAAGACAAAGATGAGCGAGGATTAGAGGGGTTTCGCGTGCACTTCGGATTGTGAGGGCGATTGGTACTTCCCGGCTGCCCACACCGTGGAAGTTGGTTGCGTGACCGCAGAGCCCAGGGGACAACTGCTTGAGGCCGGTCACACACGGCCTGTTTTTGTTTGTTGTTTTTTATTTGGTGTGTCTCAGTAGCGTATTTATCACTTCTGCCCTGTGACACGGCAGCAGAAAGCGCGGTCGTTGTTAATCCGGGCCACGGCCGATCCGGCATGAAATTTTGTGATTTATTTGAAATCATAGGATTGGATTGGGTAACTGCTTTTAGTCTAACTGCTATCCAAACAACCTTTCTGGCATGGTAGGACCTGCAGGAACATAAGTTCCAGCCAGTATAGCTTGTTGGGTCATTGCAGTGTTCAAGCCCGACCACCACGTCAAGGTAGCAGCTTTCGGTTGAGGCGGAGTGGAGAAGATTTCCAAACTGGTTTCGGGTTGATGAAGGTGTATCCTGCTTTACCGACTCTGGCTGGCTTTGACACATCTTCATCGGTTCCGCTAACCTGTGGTTGAAACCGTGCTTCCTGGCCAGATAAATGAAAGAAGTAACTTCTATCAAATCTCTTCTGTTGATGATGATTGGTGCTGGTTGTTGTTGTTGTCGCTGTTGTTGATTATCTTCATCACCTCCGCCTTCTTTATGTTCACCTGGGTACTAATAGATGGTATTGAAAGGCGGTGGAGATATATCGTGGAATAAAAGGAGTCGGAATTCATAGGTCCTTGAATAACAAACTAGTGGGCGAATGCTGGATAGACTAGCCTCTGACCTGAAGGTCCTGGCGGTTTGATTCTTGGTGGTATCGTGGGTGCGCACCCTTAGAGAGTGATAAACCAGCACAAAACCGCTGTCTAATACTCCACCGATTTCAGTAATTCTTTAACTAATATCGGAGAGTGACGAAATATACATTGAAATATAACTTAATTTGGAAATTCGGATCCTTTTATCAATCAAGTTGTCTAAGTGACAGATTATGACTTTTCAAGTGTTGGTTCGTAGGGACTTGATTGGTTACAGGATTTCATCATGTGCTGACATTGGTTAGACAACCATTAGAAAACCACATGGGATTACTGCACAGCTGTTTCGTCCTAGTTTGGGACTCTTCACAGAACGCACCCACCGGGGTTCGAACCCAGGACCTTATGGTTACAAGGCTGGCGAGCTCGTAGACCATTAAGCCACTGGGACCCGATCTGATGGCCAGCCCATAAATTCTAACTTCTGCCAATTCACGACATAGCGCGACCGCTAGCCAATGTCTTAGGCGAGTATTTGTCATCACATCCGACTTGCTGCACCCTACTGGTCGCCTTGTAACCAGAAGGTCTTTGGTTCGAACCCCGGTGGGTGCGTACTGCTGAAGATTATGATTTGTTCAACACCGAGAACGATACAGAATGTGTAGAAGAATTACAAACAAATTATTTCTTAGCAATTACTGACATCAAAGTCATGTATATATATATATATATACATATATATACATTCAATGAAGATTCCCGTCAAGAACCAAAACCAGTTAGACATCAGTGGAAACCAGGGTCTGATCCTAGGACCCTCAACTAACCAGACCAAGCTCCTTTGACCATTCTCAGCCACTTATGCTGGAATTCACTGAGATGAAGGAATTCTTACTTCGTCAGTTCGTGATATGGTGCTATCGCCAACCAATGCCATTGGTGAGCATCCCACTTCACCTTAACATGGTGCATCCCCCCCCCACTGGTCAACGACTTCTCACCAGGTACACTGCTGCGCTGAAGTGTCTCAAACTACTATGAAAAAACCGTCCGGTGTTCTTTGTTTTTCACTGATCTCTAACTGGTTTCAATTCGTAACGGAATCTACACTGAAATCGATCCAAATCCATACTAACAAAAAACCATACGCAAAACACTTCGAACAATCTGATCACACACAGAATCGTCATAGGAATATACATATATGTATATATATATATATATATATATATATATATATATATATATAACAGAGGTAATAGTACATCTACCATGGCTGGTATCAAAACAAGGTTTACCAAGGAAGGTTTATTATAGTGTGATGACGAATTTAAACTTCCTAATTGCCAGCTAGGGCTTCCACAAACAGTGTCTTAGTCAGGAGAGTATCTCAGTGATCACAGTTCCTGCCCTGTTCGGTACAAAAGAGCCTTAGTCATCTAAGTGCCTCTTCAGTAGAATCCAACGAATATGCACTGAAGACACACTTGATGAAGAAGAAAGAAAGTTGACACAAACTCTGGTCGATAATAATTGTCCAGAGAAGTTCATTAGGAGATATAAAGTAGTCAGAACATTAAGATTCACTCTACAACTCGCTTCTAAGAAAGACATGTATATTAAGCTACTATATAGGGGTGATTATGGTAGCTTGACAGCTAGACAAAGATTGAACACTGTCGTTAAAAAGACTTTTTATGCAGCTATGATCATAATAATTGAGAATGTAAAGCCGATATAGCCATTTAAGCCTTTAGGACATGAGAAAAATGATGTCACATCCCACTATATTTATCAATTTAAATGGACTTGTGGACATACACACACAGGGAGGAGTCATCGATCCCTGCAAGTAAGGACTGGCTTCAGAAGCGAACAGGAGACCTAGCTCCTCTATTGCTAAACATATTATAGAAACAGGATATAAAATTGATGTTTGCACATAGTTTAAACCTATCTGTTAGATGTGTTTGGGACGTACCCTAAAGTTTGTGGAAGCCCTATATGGCAATTAAGAAGTTTAAACCACCTATATGCGTTCAACGCGAAAAATTCGTCATCACACTAATAAACCTTCCTTGGTAAACTTTGTTTTGATACCAGTCATGGTAGATGTACTGTTACCTCTGTTATTTGGTTTAGTGATCTTCATTGTTATTCTGACCTTCAGTATATCCTTTTAACTTGACTTAAGTTTAGTTTCTCACCTCTTAACTCTTTATTAATTTCATATATATATATATATATATATATATATATATATATATATATATATATATATATATATATATAGGAAGATATATTCATGTCCAACATAGTTGAAGCATGTAATCGATGAAACAACTTCCTAATGTCGATGTGTTGATGACACATTTATAGTGTGCAACAATCAAGTCATGCTTCACACTTAGATTATTCAATGATGCACACACCAATATTCAGTTTACTATGGAACATGGAAATGATGGAAAGTTCCATTTCCTTGTTATTGCCATGCAACGCCTAGAAGACGGTAGTCTTCAGAAGTCAATTTATCGAAAGCCGACATGGAAAGGACAATACTTACATTTTAATAGTTTTGTCCAAATAGCTAGCTTTAAATGTGGACTAGTGAAGACTCTGTACTATAGAGCGAGGAGAATATGCTCTATAGAGAAATTAGAGGAAGAATTTGAGTTCCTTGAAAAGACGTTGAAGAGCAATGCGTACCCTCAAAGATTCATCAACAAGTATGGAAGATATGAAGTTACAAATGTAAAACAAATCACAGTGGGTAAAAAGCCAATCTACATTCAGCTTGATTATAAAAGTGAAAACATTGTAGCAATGACCAACAGAAGACTGAGTACATCACTAGCCATAGCCTATCCTGCAGCTAAGCTCGTCCCTGTCTATCGAACAACTTGCTCTTTGGTGCAATCAAAAATCGATAGATATCCTTCTCATGTTAACTCCAACTGTATATACAAATTTACATGTATCTGTGGGAGCAGTTACATTGGAAGAAGAGAAAGAAGAAGGGAATATCTACGATTTTCTGAACATGTACCAAAAAGCTTATATCTAAGGGGAACAAATGCTTTAAACAGTGCCATCGCCAGGCATCTCCTTAACACGAGTTATGAGGTGGACGTGGAAAAGTCGTTCAAAATTATCAATAGACAAAGGAGCTCAATTCTCCTCAAGTTTGCTGAAGCCATTTCCATCAAGCGCCTGAAACCTGATTTATGCGTCCAGAAAGAAGCGGTTATCAGTCTTTCTTTGCCCTGGTAACGATATTTTCATCTCTCTTTCATCTGAATGTGAAATGCTGAAAAGTTTTCATTGTGTATGATCATTATTGTTCGGAATAGAGTTTAATATTATATATATGTATATATATATACATATATATATATTATTATTATTACTGGATGCATATATTGATTAGTGCGTCGGTGGTATAGCGGTTAGGACGCTCACCGACCGTGCACATGGTCCGGGGTTCGATCCCCGGCCGACGCACTCCTTTACCTCGCTAAGCCAGAAATAATGCTGGTGAAGAGGAAAGGTTGGGCATGAGGCTAGCAACCCCATCCTGTAAAATAAACACTGCTACAGAAACTTCAAGCCAGTAGCTTGAAGCTCTATGTTCTACTGGGGAACGTGAAGGAAAAATAATAATAATATATTGATTGATTTTTGTTTAAAATGAACTCTGTGCAAGTATGTTAAAATTGTTTTTGTAGATACATTTAATAATGTCTTTGCTCTGTAAGCAGCTGACGAGAAGGCAACGAAATAAACAAAGGATGGTACCATTTTATTCTGCTAAAACTGTAGTTCTTGCTTTGTTCAAATTCATTAAGGGGAATAAATGTATGAAATATATATATATATATATATATATATATATATATATATATGTATATAAACGATTGGTTAACGTACCTATGTAATCATTTTGCCCAAAATATGCACGATGTGGAGCCCACATATCGCGTGGTTTAAATTCCGGTAGAACAACCGGTTTATCAGTATAATCCAGTCTAGGCAGTAGACCACCATCGTACATCCTCGGATTATATCGTATATTGACTGGTTTCGGTTGCATATATGCCTCAGCTGAACCTCCACTAGTTCTAGCGGCAAGTTGACGGCTAGGCACACGTACAACAGTTTTCATTCCTGTGTCTACTTGCTGACAAACGGTAGGGCATCCTGGTTCCTCATTAGGCTTTACACCAAGCCTACTCCAATGTTTTTCATTATTTGTTAAATACTTTGTTGAAGTAGATTTAAATTTTGACAATAATCTGCTCAACTTTCCTGTATGTAAAAGGAAGTCATTGGACCAGTAATAAAACTGTAATCCTTTAGTAGAAGACAACTGAAATTTAAAAAACCGAAATGTTTATAAGAAGACAATATCTCCAAATTTTATCAGACAATTTAGGAGAAAGTGTAACACTCAGCAAGCAAACTAAATTTTCATGCAATAACCAGTGTTAATTGCACCTACTATGTGAAGGCTTTTGTGTCTGTCTGGATTCAACATAGAACTTGGCACCGAAGTACAGCAGTTCGAGTTGCCACGTTCCAAATAGCACACAAAGGTAGACAAGAAGATGAGTGAAGAGAATCAATAGAATTTAGACAAGTATGAGAGTGAAACAGAATGAGTAATGGTAGAAAGGAATATGAAAGATTACCCAAGAGACTGAATACATCTGCGCTAGCCATTGACAACGATTTTCAGCCATGTCACCTATTGTCTCCAGTCATTGATTCTTAGAGTCCCGAGGGCTCCAACCCGGAAGTCTGCATCTCCCTACCTGACTCAGTTTAACTATCAAGGATTTCATGGATTGATGAGGCCATGTTTTTGTTTGGCCACCACTTACTCTTTTCCAACCTGCACCTATATCAGCTAGTAATGCCCGTCCGTCGGGGGAGACGATGGCTAGGCATGCGTAGCACGTGACCTAGCCATCTCAATCTATGTAACTTTATAGCCTCTTCGATTGATTTTCCCTCTTTGCCCAACACTATACGCCTAACGTCAACATTACTTACCTTATTATACCACCTAACGTGAGAAAGAGAGCGTAGACATCTATGATCAAAAACAGTCAACCTTTTCATGTCTTCAACTCGTATTGGCCATGTTTCAGAGCCATAGAGAAGGACGGAGCGAACTGCTGAGCAGTTGATAGCCGGATGTGACTGAGCAATGATTCGATATGAGTTTGCTTGCATAGTAGACTCTACAAGTAACACTTTATGAGTAAGGGATTAATGTTGTACTACTCCACTGTCTAGACCGATGTTGACAGTGTCATTTAGTTTCAATCTAAGACAGGTTTAAAGTCAAATACTACTAACTGGTTGACATAGAGTACAGTTTCTAGAGTATAACATGAATTTGAATAAAACAGGAACAATAGTGGTTTTTAAAGAATAATATGGTGCCGTCATTGCTTATTTCTTTGGCTTCTTATCAGCTCAGCTGCTTGCTTACAGCCTAAAGAAATTATGAGGTTTATGTACAGAAAAGTTTTAACATACTTGCAAATTTTGTTTTCATGATGTCAGTTGACAAAAAGTTCCACAATTAATGAACAGTGCTTAGGTGAAAGGATCAGAGTTGGTAACAAATTAGGCGAAAGATATAAGCTCATATGAGTAATTTTTGGAATTTGACACCAATCAAACAAAACACATGCAATACTGTGAGAAAGAAAACTATCAGTAGAAAAATTCTTTTATTCCTTATTCCCATTCCACAAAAATTTACAGATTTTCTAAAGAATAGCTTAAGTTTTGTACAACATATCGGAGTAATAAATGTCACCAGACACAATACTGTCATAACTTTGTACTTTGTTGACTTCGAAGCAATGAAATAAATCTCACTGTGTAGGTCGTGGTGGGTACTGTTCACTACTTGTACGTGGGATGTTTGCCAGCGGTGTCTGCTGCTGCGGATATGCTTCTGAACTCATTCGATTAGAAGGGATGTTTTCAACAGAGCTAGAAGATAAATATTGATTATACTGGGCAGGGACATAGTGTTGTGTTGGCATAGAAGGAGAAACTGAAGAATGTTGTCCAGATGAAGGGTGATAGACATCTAGCGATACATTAGGCTGTTGACGTCTATCAACAACAGGTGAACGAGTTAATGAATTAGGATGAGAAGTATACGAAGGTCGACTGTTTGAGTGAGGATAGCCACGATTTTCTTCATTCGATGAAAAACATGATGGTAATGTGTCTGATGAATGTTGCTTTTGGTTTGTATCGTCAACCGACGGTGAAATACTCATACCAGACGGATGAGAAGATGATGTATTTAAGGACATCATCGGTACGGAACTTTGATTTACGACTGTACTTGTTAGTGAGTAAGGAGTGGAATTTTGACAGCTATCACTTTTCTCAGTTGTAGAGGTCAACATTGGATCGTTTACTGTGCATTTATCCTTTCTGGTGGTTTTTGTGACCATTCCACGCAATTCTTTTTGTAAATGTCGAATCGCTTCTACAAGAGTTTGAGCTTCATGAGATACTTGATCATGATCTACAGCACCATAATTCATAGCAGCCGGGGTAAAACATTCAGGAGGAAGACCAGCCCAGGATTCTAAATTATTCAACTGGAATTCAACCTCATTTAATTGACAGAATACGTCAGCCAAATGACTTTTAAACTCTTCAGCATTGTAAGTGAGCAAGCTGTAACAAATAAAATAACTTAATTTTAACTCAAAATATTTTGGTAAAAACTGGTTGGTATAGTTTTTATTAAAAGTGGCCTTGAAAAACAGGCTGCATAGAGCATATTCTAGGACTGCTGCGCTCACTCTGAAGAAGCCTGGAAGAATATTCAGTCAGCCATAGATACAGCTGTAAAAGCTGTGAATAAGGTAAATTCAAAGGTGAGTAAAAACCATTGGATTTCGACTGACTCATCCGAACTGATAGATGCTAGAAGACTTATTCCGGCGAGCTCCAAATTCAATGAGGAGCGAAAGCTGCACAAAAGTAAACTTACGAAAAGTCTCCTCAAGGACCATGAACAGTGGTGGGTGACAAAGGCGAAAGAGATGGGAAAAGCGTCGGCGATAGGCAACACTAGGCAACTTTTTAGACTCATAAGGGAAACGGGTGAGAGAAAGCAAATAATAAGTGAGACTATTTCTGAGAAAAATGGCTCCTTAATTAGCTCCCAGGATAGACGCCTTGAACGCTGGAAAGAACACTTTGAGGAAAAATTTAACTTGCCTACAGCCACACTGAGCCTCCCCGCCATCCAGCAAATGGGATATAGACACTGGCCCGCCGTCTGTAAGTAAGTAAGGACTGAAGAGTGCACAACAACACTGAGGCTATCATACATTCCCTTTTAAGTAGCTAATAATTAGATTCTTCAATTGACCTCAACAAATTTATCATATGAGTTAGACTGTTCTCTGAATTCTACTCATAAGTATTACATTCAAACTCTCTTTGTTCAATACGACTTGGGAACAGTTACATCGTCTCATCAATCCTCAAATTGCAGGTAGCTAAATATCACTGAAATGTTGACTAACACAACAGAATTGACCAGACTCTCTTAAGATATGAGCTCCCTGCACAGAGCATTTACATAATCTGTGCTGAACTCTTCTCTATACATCTATTAACGAGATAGCGACGCATGTATGTTTCTGTACCCAGCAATTCAGTGACCGTTGATGTCACGTGCTAAAACGTTAATCTACCCCCCCCCCACACACACACACACACAGTCGAGAAACTACATATCCATTGAATACCACGTGACGTCTGGATAATTGTTTGAGAGAAAAACTTCACAAATTACTTCCATTCCGCATGATAACTGACTTTTATTGTATTGTGTAATCTGTGGGTGGGGACAAGGAAATTGCAAGATGAAACCTAAGAAATGTTTCCCATACATACTGATAATGCTGGAGTGAAACCAGCAATAGATATAAAGATGAGGAAAAAACAGTTACTATGTAGAAATTCATGATTATACAACGTGAAAAAAATTTTTAGTGACATATTATGGTTACAGCAAGCAGTGTAAATGTTTATGTTTACCTTATCACAATATATATACACGATTCGGCTTCAAAATGTAGCTTACTAGTCTGTGTTCGACTCTTAAGTAATATTTCATGAGTTCGAATTCCACCACACCTACTACTCTGATTACGACAAGTCTGTCTTCGGGTACCTGAAACAGAGAGAGGGTTAGTGTTGCGTGACCGCAGAGCCCAGGGGACAACTGCTTGAGGCCAGCCGGTCACACACGGCCTGTATGAACTGGTTTCTTGATTTGGTTCCGTATTAGTAAACTTACCGCCGGTTACGGACCACCGTAGGGTAAGTCGGAATGTACAATTTTTGGGGTCGACCTTTTCTAATCCCCCCTCTCCAGAGTGGAGAGACAGCATATCGGAAATGCTGGTAATCTGAGGGAAACACCTCACTACTGTTACATCCCTGTTCCCCAGCAGTACGACTTCGCCCACAGACCCCCAGCATAGTGTAAAAAAAATTCTTACACTATGCCGGTAACTGCTTTTAGTCTAATCGCTATCCTAACAACCTTCCTGACATGGTAGGACCTGCAGGAACAATAGTTCCAGCCAGTGTAGCTTGTTGGGTCATTGTGATGTGCAAGCCCGACCACCACGTCAAGGTAGCAGCTATCGGTCAGGATTACGACAAGTAGATATACCATCAAATACCCTCACCCAGCCCATAAATTAATACATAAACCTGTATCTGATCTCTGAATTATTCTCCAATGCTTAAATAATGGCGTAATTCCTAGAGGTCTCTTACTCATATCTTAAGCAGACGAAATTGAAAGAATGAGTCACAATAGTATCTTGCAAAGCAAATAAAAATCTTTCAGTACAAGTATGAATGATGCAACTTACTTTCCTAAATCACATTCCATTTTCTGTACAATGACTGTATGATAGTGTTCTAATAGAGCCTTTCAAAATAAAATAATAATAAATAAGTAAAGCACGATTATTAAACCAACCTACCATAACCTTTTCTTTGAGGATATTCAATGAGTTACAATACCTGTCAACCGCTGTATCACCACCACCACGGTTGGTGCTCTCATTCTGCATGTAAACGGACATTAGAAAATCACAGCTTGAATTTAGAAGTTAAACTGCACACTTAGGTTGTGAAGCATCGTGTCAGAAAAATCTGAAGTGGCCTCGTGTACTGTTCCAGCTGTACTGATCTAACCAACTGAGGGTGCAGTGTATCCTACAAAATGGAATGTAATGCAAATTAAGTCTAAAATAAATATAAGCTGAATATCATGAGGCAGAAACAGAAAAGTGGGTGTTTGAAGTTTAATACATGCACAAGGAATATACCATTGACTATTTTACCAGACATCGACTATTCTATTCCTATCGTAGAAAATGTTCAAAAATCTAAGAAAAGACCATAAACTCGCTCTATCCTATCTTTTTCTTTTTAATATGCCACGTCAGCTATTTCTATTGCTTCTCGCCCTGAGGTGATTTAGTACGACATCATCTGCTTGGCTGGCAGAACTTCTACAAATAACCCCAAACGTCGCAATGCCCTTGTTCAAGTTAATGCGCTTTTGATAACGCTGACCTCATTCCTATTTCATCCTGGATACACAGGACAACCCCACCACTTTTCCGATTAATTACCCTGTCTGCTCTAATGCAGATGTACCCAAGTATGAGTGGGGTTAAGTCTACACCAAATAACAACCATGTTTCAGTGAGATCAAGACTGAAAAACTGTATCCAGGCAGCCATTCTTTGTCTTAAAGGGGACTCATATTCTAGAAAGGGTTCAAAGGAAGGCACCACGCATGAATCCTGGCATGATTAATCTATCGTACCAGGAAAGACTAAACAATTTAAATCTCTTCTCCCCATCATACAGTAGGGAGAGAGGAGACTTAAGTAGAATGTTTAAAATTTTAAATAACTTGTGACCCCATCTATTCTTTCTTTTCCTTCCCCGCAGGTCGGAACAATTTAGAAGACATAGCAGGAGAGTTCAAACGCCAAGGAGAAACTATATTGCTGTGGTGTATTGGTTCTTACTGTGAGTAAACAACCCCTGGAACCGACTCCCGGAAGAAGTGATGTTAGCAAACTTAATTGAATCACTCAAGGAGGGTTTGGGCAGGCATAAATTTACTATGAAACGACTAACATGGGCTTCAAGCTTTCTATTCTCAGTCAACAAATCTGAATCTGATAGGCTGATGGTAAAAAGTCAGTACAAACTTTATGAGCAAACCTTAGTTTACTAAGGAGACCTAAGTGGGATACTTTGCCGTATGCCTTGCTAAGATCAATAAAACCCACGTCCAACAGAAGGTTTTTATCTCTGGCCTCGACCCAATCTTCCCTAGCTAACAGTAAGTTTGTCAGGCAGGATCGTCCTGGTCGGAATCCATACTGTTCAACTGCCAGTAAACCATGTGTTTCAACATAAGCTAATAGCTGATCCCTTATAATAGTTTCCATTACCTTTGCTATAATGCATGTCAGACTTACCGGCCTGTAGTTAGATACCAATTGCCTGTCCCTCTCTTTGAAGATAGGGCTTATAATGGCATCCTTCCAGTCCCTGGGTAGCTTAGACTGGGTCAGCGACATTTCGAAAATCTCCGCAAGCGGAATATATATTATATCCGCCAAGGAAATTAACAGTTTAGGGTGAAATCCATCAGGCCCAGGTGATTTACCTGGCTTCAGTTTAGACAGTAGTTTGAGGACCTTTGTGTGCACTACCACAATTGAGGGCACCTGAGTGGCGATGGCAGTGACCTCGCCATATTCCTGGGTGGTAGTGTCAGACGAGAAGACGTCACAGAAGTATTCAGAGAGGTTTCCAGTCTTTCCTTCGTCTGACTCAGCCGCTTCTCCACTAATGCTTATGAGTGACGCTATACCGTTACTAGTTTTAGTCCTACGTTTAATATACGAGTAGAGCCTTTTTGGGTAATGAACACAATCTAGTGCAAGCCGTCTCTCGTACTCTATACGACTCTTGTTAACCGCATACTTACAGAGATTTCGAATAATATAAAAAGCACAAGGTCAAAAGTGAACAGAAACCAATCCCTCAACTAAGTATATCAGTTAAAGCAAACCAAAAAGCTTCCGATGCGATGTACACAACAGAAGCAGAAGTTACTTCACAACATAATAAATATCACTCCTCTCCAAATCTTGCGGGATGTTAACATAGAGTGCTGGTTAAACTTTACGCAGAGTGAGAATATACGTTATAGAGTGTTATATCTTACGCACCAGTCCGTAGCACTGATTTGGCGCCGCACCAATGACCTTGAAAAAACGGTGAAAACTGGGGAATAATATTGTCGACATTAATAAGATATGACTAATGAATTGTAGTGTTATTAAATGGGATATCAGGTGAGTTTCAGGTTTGCTTTGGGAAAAGTGAACTGAAGGTCCAGACTTAAGACATGTTAGGGTTAAGTTAACCTTATGAGGGCGTCATTGGGGTTGGTTTAGTGATATTTACATGTTTGTGTAAGGTTATTGAAAGATTAGTCATTTCTTCCAAATGGGTCAGAAACTTGCACTGTGTGTCGTGACGATGATTTCCAAACAAGTTATACACTTTTATCAACAGCCAACTTCACTGGCTCCCACCAAAAATAATTAACTACAAGAAACTCTGGTAACAAACTAACCGAAAACCTATGGCTGCACAAAAGTGAAGGATTAAAAGTGGAGATAGATAGGACGCACACTGAGGAGACCGTTGAATGACATTGCGCGCACTGCAGACCATTTCCTGAGTGGAATCCCAACAGGAAGCGACGAGTGGGTCGTCCGAGGGTAATGTGGGGGAGATCGTATGGCGAGGGGAGAGGAGAGAATATAGTCAGTCGAAGGCACATGTGAAGAGAACAGTGGGGAGTAGAACCAAGTATGGATATGTTGTTGAAGGCCTACGTCCCACTGGAAATCCAAGGGAATAATAACCCAATGATTGTGCGAAAAATATCGCCCTTATCATGCAGTTGGTGTGCTCAAGGTCATTTATCCTTCTGTACATAGTGGTGCATGAGGTCCAAACTCACCAATCTGAGATTTTAATACGATTTTATCAGTGGGGTTTTTCGAAAGTGGTTTCTTAAATGGATGCAGTCGACCAAGGCTAAATTATGATTACTCTACACCACAACAACAGAAACGAAACGACCTAATAGAGACCTTGGCGAATATTCATCGGCCAATCAGATGCACCCGAAATAGAAGCGCTTTTTTCGAGAAGACGTTAACATTAGAGTAATGCCATGTTAAAAAGCAGTTACATAGGACTACGTACTCGTGTATTTCCCAGATAAACCTCCCATTATGTCACGGGAGTCCTCATAGTTAGGACAAACCGATTCCGGTGCAAAAATTCTTTCAGTTGACTGTATATCTTCGTGTTTCTTGACCTATTCATCGCCCTGATCTTGATTTTTACGTGTCCTTGGAAACTTTGGATGGACTTTTGTGAGTCCTATCCAAAAGACTAACGAAATCGTCCACATGGTTGACCATCCTTTGAATATAGCCCAGGGATGACAGTTGGCTACACGTGTTCTGCCTTCCAATGAGCCTGTTGTCCAGGCAATACTCAAATGACAGATCTGGATGAAATTTGCTGCGTTGTTAGTATACACCATCTACAATTCCGCCTACATACCACAGGCTCATCTGACTGATCGCTCAAGGTCACTATTCAGTTAATTTAGTGGTTTCGTGTTGGGCTGCTATAGTTTAGAGTCACCTAGACTACTATCAATATAAAGTATGCGGCTCCAATGTTTTAGAAGTAGTGAAGCCTACCAATACGACAGACTCATTCTACTGCAAATAAGCCAACCGGATGTGGTGCCAATCGTCAAGCAATGATCTGAAACAGATAGCAGGGCACATGTTGGCTAGGCGGTCAAACATTGGTGCCACGTGCTAGTAAGAAGGAAGACTCAGGGTCAATAGTTGCATTTACAACCAATTATAGTACAGATGGGTGGGGGGAAGAGTTTTCCTGTCGGTCGTCCGTCGCGCCGCCTTGGGAGACCAACCCCTGCACTCCACGCGGTGAACCTAAAACTAGACAAGCATACAGTTTAAACATTGGAAAAACGCTTGACTTACCACGCCATACACAGAAGAGATTAGAGCTTCGCGGGCAATGCTACGAGTCTTCAATATTCAACAACTACGGTGTAAGGCTGTGCGGCATGATACTTATAAAACGAGGACTGTGAATAATAATATTCTCAGCGTCGTTTATATTCCTGGTTCCGTTCCCCAGACTACCCAGAATTCAATCCTTTGGTGGGTCACTTAGTCCTGAAAAGCTCCCACTATATATGTATATTTGATTAAATCTTATTAGTCCATTATTTTTAGAGTAATGAAACACTCGACTTCACTGTAACTTGTCATACAAATCCAGAACAAGAGGCATAGTTTGACCAGATCTAACTGCTTGTCGAAAATCAATTATTCTCGTGGCTGCAATACTTGAACCTCTCCAAGATGATGATAACAGTGAAATCACAAAATATGACAGCGCTAACGTAGCAGGGAAAATTACGATAGTCTGAGGAATAATCTTGTGGAGTAATTAAAAACAAGTCAGAAACCAACCAGGTATGTCACACCAGCAGGGTATTGTTGAAAGACGCTGTTTGAAGCAACTACATTTTCGCTTATTTGAGTTACCAGTTGGTCGAGTGTGGTCTCTACGTCGCAACTTGATTATATAACAGTCGTCGATAGGTTACTAGTGACCTGCTGCTAAGTGCAGTGTTTATTATACATAAGCTCTGGCAGACATAAATAGGGATTTAATTCAACTTGTTTCGTGAGCTGCCCTCACGAAACCCATTATTGCCCACTGTTTATATCTTCCGGACATTGGTCGCGCTGCCGAATACCCGATGGTAGCTAGGTGTGAACTGACATGGTCTTCACACGCAGTCTCTGTGAAGTTTACGCTGTGGACCCAATATACCTCTTTCTGTTTTGTTTTGTTCGTCTTCCAAAATGTTGCCGTCTTCTTCAAGACAAAACCGCTGTGCTTCTAGTCCGGGTCTAGAAGTAATTTTCAAAGCTGTAAAGACAGCTGTAGTATAAAAGTTACAGATATTCGAAATATAAGCAGCTCTTTCATGAAGTCATATATATATTTATTCCTGTTTATGCAGGAACATACCATTTGTACAGGCATGGGTAAGTTATTATATAAATTACACATATTTCGATGTATGCTGAATTTACAGTTTGGTTGTTCTTTCTGACATTAGAGTCAGTCGGAACAATCCGCTAAATAGTCTGTTTGTGTAACACATAAAGAGATATATAAATATTGTCTTCGCATTAACAAAAAACCCAGACATCAGATGAATGTAATACAAATATCTGGGAAAAATAAAGCTTGAAGTCAATCCTCCTATATAACTTTGTTGTGAACAGCATCCTTGAGTTAATGTTCATTGATATATAATGTTGAGATCATTGATATATTTATTCCAATTTTTCAGCAGTCTAATCGTAATTTTATAATAGGAAAGAAATTTGATCGTGGATACGCAAACTAGATAAGGTCATGTTGGACTGTTTTACTGCATGGAATGGGGCCGAGGTCGGTTCCAGAGCTATCCATGCCATTTGTGGCAGCATGACAGACTGTACACTTTAGTTGAGTAATACATTGAAAACTGTTTGAAAACCAGTTGCTTCTTTATTTCCGATCAAGAATACTCCTTGTACGGAATGTTGGCCAGCGTTTTCAAATGGTAGCATCGGATCGTTCATGGAATTAGAGTGGTTATGAGTTAAATGGTCTGGAGTCCAGATTCATTTCAGTTTAAATGTGGGGCAGTTCGACCTCGACCAGAAGGTAAATAGAATAGTAGGCGCACCAGCAGAATACCAGAAAGAGAAAGTATGTGAACATGAAAAGAACATTAATGTTTTATGCACATATTTATGTTTATGTCAAAGGGCATGGCCAACTTTCCGATGGAACTCGGAAATTCTCAATTAGTAGCAAGGCTGATTTAAGTAAGCTATGGGTTTCTGGCCGCTAACCGATATGCGAAACAAATAAGATAACATATACGGTGAGGCTTTGAATGCAAGTAAAGAATCCCACTGTATAGTCCGATTTTTGTGTTAGGACTAGGACAAATTACTTGATCAAAGCGTAGGTTTCTTGTCAGAAGAAACTTATGAACAGCAGAGGCGAATCACCTGAAGGAGCATAACACTATCAAATTTTAATTCAGTTGGATTACAAGGACTTGTCCGAAAGGCAATCTGAAGAACTTCGAATTTTGTACTTTGCATCATCGTCGTCATCATCGGAGTTTAACTGAATGTTTGAATTTCTACCCAAGGACTGATCAAGAACTCGTGTTCTTTAACATATATCTCAGTGAGATATTTGCTGTTATACGAAAGTGTTACACATTTGGACACAAAGTTGCTGTCTAACCGTTAGGAAGGCAAGAAGCCGTATGTTTTGCCAGCGGGGTTATATTATGCCAGGATTTAAGCTGACTACTTCCATATCACCAGCTAGAATCGAGAAGAATAACTACCCTTTCTTCTCGGTAGGAGTTGACTATTTCAGGACTTTAATAATGATAGAGGATAAGAGATTCAACAGACATTGTGGGTTCGTTTTTGTGTTTCGGCGCGCAACCTGTACACTCATAAATGGAGTATATTTTGGGAAAAGATTTCTATTACGACATGGAATTTCATCAGCTGCAGATGATAGCTGGGAGTAGCATTCGGTGATAAAGGATACAAGCTGGTAGAGGAAAATGAATTAGGAAAATATCCACTTCACTCAAAAAAGTGATACACAACAGTTCATTGAGTAGATACGTAGCTCAGTATATTATTCTGTCAAACGAGGATAATCCAGGTGGTGTTTAATAGCGAAAAGCTAATAACAGAATGCGTATTGACCATAATAATGGATTCTGAAAGCAGAAGAGTTGGCAGGCATTTGTTTTACCTGTATCAGATCCCGAGGATTTTCCCGAGCTTATCTAGAAGGCCAAATGCTTACGTAAGATGAAGGGAGGATTTGCAGCTGCTTTTTCTTGGCTCCAAATAAAAATAACTTCCGTGATCTCTGTAATGCTATCTGTCTGACGAGACATGAGCGCTAGGCAAATAACAGGCCATCTTACTAGTCTAACCCAACTTGATCTGGCAATCGTGCTGCTGCTAAAACTGACCAAACTAGTGAAAGGGGAGTGTTAAAGTTAATGGTGTTAAAAGGGACGTTTTAGTAAGCGGAATAACTACAGATTGTAGTAGTGTATCATCAACACTCACTTGTTCCTTCAAACATTCATTACTGAGCTCTACCGCTTTATTTGAACCCCAGCATTCAAGATAAACGGGTGATGATAAACGTTATCGTGATATACTATCATGCACTGTATGGGTTATCGCGTTCACGCCTATAGAGGCGTTATAAGCGTTTATTTTTTGAAAATAGATTATATATGACTGGTTTCAGGATTCAATAGCCGAAAAAAGCAATATTTACCAGTATTCTTTTCGTATTAATGGGTAAAACTGTCATGATATCCCAAAGGATGTATTACTTCAAAGAACTCATCGTATATAAGAAATTTAGCATAGAAAGGCTATTATTTGCGTTATAGAGCCGTAAAGGTTTGTTTTTTGCTAGTTTTTTGAGAATATTAAGGTTGAAAAGTAACTATAGTCAATGGTTGTTTTCATAGCAGTTATTCTATGATAATGAGACATTTGAAGGATAACTAGCCAGCATACACAAGTTAAATGTACGTTTTCAGGATGCGAAACACTTTCCTATCATCATCCGTGATGATTGCAGCATTCCATAACACATCGAAGAGAGCATGCGATGAATGATACAATCTGCTGAATTTCCTGGTGATTATATCCATTTCGATGAAGTTCCTAGTTAAAATCGCTCAGGTGAAGATGTGATACCAGTTTAATTTACATTTTCACATGGAATTTCGGGAGACCGTAATTACTGAGTGCGTTACATTGCATCAGATTATGTTGATAGCATTTTGCGATTGGGCAACAATAATGGTATAGATGGTCCTTATAACATGTCAGACTGCTTCAAATTAGAATCAGCTTTCTGTGGAGGAGTAGGTAGCAGCTATGTCCTACAACTACTAAACATGTTAATTAAGTTATATTAGTATTAAGAATTTTTCATTTTGAGATCACTAATGTACTGAGATCCATAATGAATTACTTGTGACTCTGAATGGTATGGAAGGTGCACTTATGGCTCATGTTTGTAAAGCATTTATTATTAAACAAGTTATCTGTAGGGATTTTTTGATGTCGAGGTTACAGTGCTTGAGTGTATGTAGTTACTCTATGATATTGTACTTGAAGGGACAGTTGGTGAAAGTGAAGGTAGAATAAAGTTTCTTTCAAAGTCACTATGAATACTGCAACCTGTTGATAAGAAACTGCATCAAAGTAAAATATTCCGAACAGATAGGAAATATTACTGCACTTTCTCAGGATGCTGTCCTCCTCAAAAAACCTTTTAATTATGTGAGGGAATAGTACTTACCCAAGTATATGCAGTGTTCGTTGTAAAGGGTTAATAGTTTAACTTTTATGATAATCCGTTGCAATTGCTAGTACAATAATTTAACAATCTAAACTTTTGAAAAAGTATTAATTTACGATATTTCACGATTGCAATTTATAACATAACTTGGTGTGCCTGTAGAGATGTCATGCTATTCTTGTGAACATCCGTTTATACAACATATTAAATTATTATTTGCTTGGTGCTATACTTTAGAGGAGGAGTAATGTGTGTGACAGTGAAAACCGCAGAAGAATGCTGTCATGTCCAAAGAATGAGAGGCGAGAATGAACCTTTTTCAGGCAAGGTAGGAAAATATAAAGCGTTTCACTTTAACATTACTTATTTCTAACTGCAACGATTTAAAAATTACACTTTATTCAATTACTTGCAGATGTTCCGCAAAATCAGTCATCCTGGTCACAGCAATTACGCATCCCCGAAGTAATTACGAAAAACAATTGTGTAAAGACATTCGCTTATTATTTTTCATTAAATATATTTAACATCCTGCTCACCATACTTTTCTTATTCTATCTCAGTGAAACTAAATTTGTCATTATGACGAGATGGAGGCCTGACCTACCAATGAGACCTGAGAAAGTAATTGTAGGCATAATTCAACGTAAGCGAAATCGTACTAATATTGCTACAGCTCAACCTATCAAATTATTCGTCTCGTGTAGACTTCATTTTGCACTATATGTTAACACCCGTAGTCATATGAATTGACATCACGCTTTAAGTGAAATAATAGTTATGCACTACTTTTGATTACACTTAACCTCATACGAAATCGAGCTCAACTACAGGGCCTAAGTTGTATTCTTATTTTTCAAATATTGAAGGGAAGGGATTTTTGTCATTAGTCCCTACAGATTTATCTATGACTAGGAGACGTAATCGCGTAACTGTAGGCAGATTTTTAGACTTGACTGAAGTACTTATAATTCACCACTTTTATCGATGGATATTGTTCCTACAGAATTGCACTTACGTATAGTATGGAATTTATATCCTAGGGAACACCGGTCTAGCATGCCGCACTCCCAACGCGAACACACGAAATAAGGACAAGAATGTTAATAAGAAAAGTTTATATTTATTGTAATACGAAAGTAGTTAATTTGCACATTAAGAAAATGGTCCATTTGTGCGATTACTTCTCCCGCGTAATCTGCGGCAACCACATAGTGAGTGCAGGACAACTACATTGTTAGCATTAAATGACTTCCTCACTGTTTGAAATTCTTCTAATGAATTCGCAAATTCCTCCCAGCTAAAGAAATGCCTTCCCAGCATTACTTCACCGAAAATTCCACTGACGTCTTCAGTGCTTTCACTCGCATTGCCTACCTGCAATAAACTAAAAAGGATTTGTAAATAAGTATCTATCTGTCTTGCAACTGTTTAAATATAATTCCGTAAAAAAAGCAAAATTGAAATACATCACTGAGCAATATCCATCGATAAAATGCTAAACGTATACCCTAAAATTGAGAAATGCGCAAGAACTCACGGGTTCCTTGATATCACCAGCAACTGACAGGCCAACAAACCGAGTGCATGCTAAACCAAGCCTCGTACATGCACAAAATAAGTGAGAGAAAATGTTAGAATACTCAAATTTTACATTTATATTCATCAAACATGCTTGCAAACAACGCATGCCGCAATCACACAAACCTGCACACGATATCACCTACCTAGGACAAATTAAATATCAAACTGGCCGCCACCGTTCTATCCAATCAAAGCTGAGAAAGCCCTTAAGCGCGGAAGATTTAACACATTATAACGTATATCATCACCCCAATTTTTCTTCTGCAGGTGAAATCATACTTTTTGTCAAACTTTTAGAGGTTGCAGGTATCGACGTTCGCGAGTTGTACGGATCATACTAACGCAAGATCTTATACCAACAACTTCTATAATGTTCGTTCTTCGAGTACCAAAGATAAAGCAAAAGACCAGATTTTGTCGTCCAAAGTACGTAGTATATTTCGGGACAAAATCGCGGGTAGAGGTGAATGCTTAACTAGCTAATAATCGTGCACGCACGTGACACGATGGAGTACTAAATGGCGGGGATGCTTGACCGGAAGCCTTCAGCTAAACAAGTCGACTTAAACAGTGAGGGTCAGCATACAACGTTGAGTGATGATTGCTGTGGTTAATAATTTTGGGGAATTATTTACCGCTACAAACCCATTTATGGTTGACCTCTCGTAAGAAATCAGTTTACGGAACGAATGAAATGTGTTTGAAGCACATCATTTAACTGGATTTGGAAACTAGTTTCGCAAGCCACAGGAATTTACAGACATAAATATTTGGCGGCAGAGACATGTTGTAAGCTGGGTGGTCATTTTAATAATGCTTCGTAAAAATACACAGTAGCTACGGTTCATTCCACAAAGGCGTGCAGTGACTTCTTGTGGAATATTTCTTTACTGCTGGGCTAAAGACAGAGGGTGATAAGACGCTGAAACACCAGTACCTATCACAGACAATACGCTAACTACAAATATTATTTTTCCCAACTGAGCTCCTAGCATTTCATCTTAAAATATCAGTTTGCATTAGATTTAGTTGCCCCCTCTGGAATGGTTGATTTGTGCTTAAACCAACTGGTTCGGAGAACACAACTATGCCAAAATCACCCACCTGAACTATAAATCTTGTCCCTCTTCGGTCTGTTTATCTATGATGACGAAGGTCAGAGAAGACGTATTCCTGACAATTGGACACTGAAGTCACAAGTTGGTATATCCGTATGAATTCTTCACACCAGTTCATCTGGATACATCCCAAATCGAAAGTTGTTATGACATTCGTCTTTTGTCGAGCAGTGAGGATTTTGGAGAGGTTTAGGGGGCATATTAGGCTGGCCTGAGCAGCCTTGCCAAAGCTCAGATCTGACGGGATTGACGTCATTTCTAGTTATGGTAAACATAAATTGAGGTGACGGAACCTCCCATAGTACTCAGGGTTCTCCAGCTTTACGATTGTTGAGTTGTGAGACTGACAGTGCAGAAATCCACCAAAATTCAGAAGTGTTTTCTCCATCATCAAGAATGATGAACAAATGTTCAGTTCGGCTTGGACCATTTTTTGGTAAGCAAATTGGATATTGAGAAGCATTTGTTTGTCTTCGCTAAAGTACAATTACCAGTTTCGAGAGGTAAATGGAAGGCGGTTCGGTGCTTTTTTGGTTTCTGTGGTTCCTAATAGTCAGCGTTTTCATTGATGACGCTCATCAGAATCCTGACTTTTCAGTCGAGAAATTATTTGATGCATTTAAAAATGGTGTAGATCCTGAAGTATATCAAAATATAGTAGGACTGCATTCATCCTTTAAAACCATTTTTCAGACAGAAATAATTTCTTCCAAAGGTTATACACCTCAGGAGCACTACATAACGACTGATGATGGATACATTCTTTGTATCGTTCGAATTTTGCCGAAATGTAATCAGCCTTTTAGTATGTTCCAGTTAGTAAAAATATTCTGCATATTCACAGGTAAACAAAAGGTTGTTTTTCTTCAGCATGGTCTTTTGGACTCTGCACATACTTGGGTCAACAATCTTCGAAATGAAAGTTTAGGATTTATACTTTCAGACAATTGCTACGATGTGTGGATGGGGAATAGTCGCGGAAGCACCTACTCGTCAAAGCACAAGTTCTTAAAACCGGAAGATAAAGACTTCTGGGCATTTTCATGGGATGAGATGGGTAAATACGACCTTGCTGCGTCAATAAACTATGTCCTGAACCATACGAATGCAGAAAAAATAAGTTATATAGGACATTCTCAGGTTGGTGGATGCATGCTAAGTTCTAATGTTTCGGTACCCCTTGTATCTATGTCACTCCACTACATATATATATATATTGTGGAGTGACAGACTTATGTGTAGGTTTGTTTCGGACTCGAAGATTGTGTTTGTGCAACTATTTCCTGTCCAGCTTATAGTCTTCATTAACAAGTGTGCACTCTAAAACACATGTATAGATCCTCCTAAGTTTCGAAAACTGCTCGAAATCATTTTCCGGTATACTGCTGAATTTCTCCATTCATCAGACTGCTGGATCACTGTTTAATAATTAGACTGGTTTTATGTTCCATAAAAATGCTACATTCGACTTTGATGGAATTCAATATTTTGCCAATGTCTAAGCCGCGAATTAGTTCTTTGAACTGCTAGATCAGTTTTGCGTCATGATGCAATACACTGAATGTACCAGAGTAGGTTTCTGTTCAGTTGACCGCTCATTACTAAAAATTGCTGATAAAAGTTTAATACGGATTAACTTGGAAAGTTTTAAGGTAAGAAGTGCCTGCCATATGTTTATCATTCAGCAAATACCAATGTAGTTTCTTTGTTCAGTGAAGGAATATCTCTTTTCAGTGACTTCATTTTCAAGTTGTATAGTCGTATTTATATTACGGAAAAAGGCATTAAGTGGCACTTTAAAGTTACGTACAGGACCAAATCCAATCACTCCGAAATCTTACGTTTTCTCCCCTAATGCATAGCCTAAGCTGTAGCTATACATGGACAAAAACCTAAATTATGTATTCAAAACGTTTCGTCAAACCCATTTCTTTACCTAGTCATAGTAATGTTCTTTAGTTTTATTCTATTATACCATTTGAATTCATTCCAGTTCACCTTCGCCATCTTTATTCCTATCATCATCGTAATTTTCCAGATAACACTTGACCTAAAATTTTAAAATATTTATACCAGTTCATTTATTTAATATTGTTTAGAAGTTTTGTAATTCATCAGCTTCAACTCTACCCCTCCCCTTAGTGCATCATTTTAATTATCTTTATTCTTATCATATATATATTGATGGATCAATTTCTAGTGCCACGTAATGCCTTTTTCCGTAATGTAAATACGACTGTATAGCTTGAAAATGAAGTCGTTGAAAAGAGATATTTCTTCGCTGAACAAAAAGCTGTGCTTTTCTTAATGAATTAATGGGTATATATAGCAAAATACGAATATAAGGGCACTCTTGACTTGTAATTTTATCGATTCCAAGATGTTGTAGTAATATCTGTCTGTAAAGTATCAGGAAAATATTACGGTGGTCAATACAATATTCGAATTCTTGGAGCAGTATAGCAAATTAAACCAACTTGCTTTCTTAGATGAAAGCACAAAGGTGTCCTATTCAATCCTATTTCAGGTATACTAATCGATAAGACACTAACTGCGATGTTTGAAGGGTTGTCTTTCTAGCGGTGAAGGGCCCCGATCACTCTCAATCTGTAGAGTGTATAATCCTCTCGTTATCAACCATGTAGTGTCATAAGTCATCACAGTCTAGTTTATAGCTTGATAAATAGAAGTTTGGAAAGGTAATTTTTTAGTACTATCATTATTATAACTTTCTCTGGTTGCCGTCATTTTAAGATGCTCTTGGTAAAGAAAAATGTGTATTTCTTAGTACTGTTTGGAGTTTAGAGACAAGATATAGGGCATATATGTATGCATATATGTATATATATGTACGAAATATAGCCTGAGTTTATCATTATCATGCCTATAGGTTGAACACTTACCATTAGATAATTATTTAATCGTGGTTATGATATAATTGAGGTATACACACTTCCCTTGATTAAATTATAAAGCATGAAAATACTTGTAGGATTACAATAACATGTACTGCTTTATCCATATGTAGTACTTTAAGTCATTTGGGTGCTTGAAAGTTAAAATGTTTTGCATCAAAGATACCCGAAAAACTAGCAACGTACTTCTCTTATATTGAATTGTTTATTGGCCCAAAATGTAACATTAACCACCAGAAACAGAGTGAATATCTCTCTAAACCTGTATTATTTCGATTTATTCAAGATTGCAAAAAAATTTATATTGTGGCAAAACTTACTTGTTTCTTAAGCCATATATAAGCTGTCGATTTCGAAAAGTCAACATAGCAGTTGTGAGGACTTTAATTCCTGCTGTTCAGAAAGCTGTTGCGTCTATGGCTCCATGGTAAAATAATACCCAGACACATGGCAGGACTAAGGTCAACTTCTAGCACTACGAAACCTCAGAAAAGAGGGAAGACAGGGCTTGCAACCCCACCAATTCAGAGTAATACTACCGTTATCGAAACTTCAAACCTGGAAGCCCTCTACTCTACTAGGGTGACAAATTATTGAGAGAAACAGTTCATAAAGTTAAGAAGAACATTTATTGCAAATAGAAACAAATGACAATTTCAGTACTGGTTTGTATGCTCTTTTGTTTTCCAGTGTAAGCTACATTCTCAAAGGAAACATAGAGTAAAGGTACTTTTGATTAGATACTAGTCAGTAAATAGTGTGATTTGTCTAATCCTATCTTTGTTGCACCTCGCCTAGATTACTAGGTCACTAGTATTCTAGCCGGTCCCAAGCCCGGATAAAGAGGGAGGGTTGGGGCGTGGTGCTAGCAACTCCACCCCCAAAACTTAACCAAATTGCTACTAAAACTTCAACGCACAAATATATTCAAAATCCTAAAATTACAAATAGTGACCTTATTTTTCGCTGGAATCGGGGAAGTGAAATGACGCGGGCTGGTGAAAGCCTTCGGGAAGCCAGTCAGCCGATGTGCCTTCTTTCGATGAAAGCGAAAATAAGGATGGGGACGTGGAATGTTCGTACAATGTACGAAGCTGGGAAGGCTGCTCAGGTAGCCGCAGAAATGAGGAGATATAAAATAGAAGTGTTGGGAATCTGTGAGAGCAGATGGAACGGATGTGGAAGGAGCCAACTATCAACTGGGGAGACAATAATCTACTCCGGTCACCCAGAGGACAATCACGAGCACACCGAGGGAGTAGCCATCATGATGTCACCAACAGCGGCTAAAGCTCTAATGCAGTGGGAACCAATCTCCTCCAGGATAATGACAGCCAGGTTCAACTCAAAAGGAAAGAAGGTTACAATCATTCAGTGCTACGCGCCTACAAACACCTCAGAACATGAGAAGAAGGAGGATTTCTACAGTCAACTACAAACAGCAATGGACAACGTCCCAAAGAGCGATATCAAAATCCTGATGGGCGACATGAATGCGAAACTGGGAGGAGACAATACAGGAAGAGAACTCACCATGGGTCGTGAGGCCCTCGGAGAAATGAACGAAAATGGCGAACTCTTCTCAGACTTCTGCGCCTTCAATGATTTGGTGATTGGTGGCAGTGTGTTCAAACACAGGGATATACACAAAGCAACATGGATTTCACCAGATGGACACACCAAAAACCAGATAGACTTCATTTCAATCTCAAGGAAGTGGAGACGGAGCCTACTGGACACAAGAGCGAGGAGAGGAGCAGATGTGGGTTCAGACCACTATCTAGTACAAGGGACATTCAAGGTGAAGCTGAAAGCCTCGAGGATACCTGGGGATAGGCCACAATGCAAGTTCAACACGGAAAAACTGAAAGACACAACCACAAAGGACACTTTCACTGCAACTGTCAGAGCAAAGCAGGAAACACTACGTGGCACCACTGAGGAATCATCCGTGGAAGACCACTGGAACTCTCTGAAGGTAATTTTCAACGAAACGTGCTCAACGGTTTTAGGAAGAAAGAAGAAACAAGACAAGGAATGGCTCTCAACGGACACTTGGAAACTAATAGAGGAGAGGAGAATGGTGAAAGAGAAAATGATTCAATGCAAAGATGGACAAGAGAAAGAGACGCTGAACTCAACTTACACAGCACTGGACAAAGAAGTGAAGAAGAGTGCCAGGAAGGACAAAAGACAATTCCACGACAACCTGGCCACTGAAGCTGAGAAGGCAGCAGGCAAAAGGGATCTGAGGACACTATATCAAATAACCAAGTCTCTATCCGGGAAGAGATCAACACAAGTGAAACCTATAAAAGACAGCCAAGGGAACCCAATTACCAAAGAAGAAAGACAGATTAAACAATGGGCGGACCACTTCAAAGGACTCTTGAATCGACCACCACCTACAACCCGTCCAGTAATACCAACAACAGCACGTACACAACTGCAAGTTGACACCAATCCTCCAACGAGAACTGAAGTCATGAATGCAATCAAGCTTCTGAAAGCTGGAAAAGCAGCTGGACCAGATGGAATACCCCCGGAAGCACTGAAAGCGGACCCAGAAACGACGGCAGATATGCTTACTCCATTATTGCAAAAGATCTGGAAAGAGGGAAAGGTGCCTACTGACTGGAGGAAAGGTTACCTGGTGAAACTACCAAAGAAGGGCGACCTGGGACTCTGCAAGAACTGGCGAGGAATCATGCTCCTGTCGACGCCAAGTAAAATCCTGAGTCGCATCATCCTGGAGAGAATCAAGGACGCACTGGATACAGAACTCCGACCAGAACAAGCTGGATTCAGGAAAGGCAAATCATGTTCTGACCAAATTGCAACTCTACGCATTATCATCGAACAAAGCATGGAATGGCAATCAAATCTCTACCTCAACTTCATAGACTTTGAGAAGGCCTTCGACAGCGTTGACCGCGAAGTTATTTGGAAACTACTCGAGTACTACGGCGTACCCCAAATATTCATCAACCTTATTCAACAACTGTACGACAACGGCACATGTCAAGTGATCCACAACGGAAAACTCAGCGAGGCGTTTGGAGTAAACACAGGAGTCAGACAAGGGTGCTTATTATCACCAATGATATTCCTAATTGTGGTGGACTGGATTATGCGTCAGACAGTGGGAAACGAGAAGACAGGGATATCCTGGACCGACATGAAGAACCTAGAAGACCTGGATTTTGCGGATGATTTATGCTTGAT